CTTCTCATCCAACATCAGTACCTGACCTCATAAATGTTCTTTTGGCTGATTAGACATACATTACCCCAGACACCCTCCATACTCTTGCTGGACGTCTTCCCAGAAGAGCAAAGGATGTTATAGCCACAAAGCCACTCTGTATTAATGGCTTTGGTTCTAGAATTAGATGTTCAACAAGCTCCCGTAGGTGTGTGATGGTCAGGTGTCCAGAAACATTCAGCTGTATAGTATATTTCTATCCAATTGCACCCTTGATCATATTATGTAGCCTCCTTCTATGACACCTTCATCTCACCTCAACCAATTTACTTTCCAGAGAGCGTTACCTGAGCACCTTACTACAAGTGGAAATGATGTTGAAGATTTGGTTCCCCGGGGTCAGCAGCTCCTCTTCCTCCTCTTCGTCCTACTCAGACTTTGACATGGAAGAACCTCAGCACAAAATGGCCAAGGTAAGGACAACTATGAAGACAGAAAAGGTTGACCCTATCGGTTTTGGGGAATATTTACTACTGTATGTGTACTCTGACCATTGTCATTGAGTGAGAAAATGAGGGGAATCAAAATTTAGACTTTTCTCCAGAACATGAGGAAGGGGGAAGTTATCCAGTGGGGATTTCCCTTCACTTTGGGAGATTTCCTCTAAATTCCTGTGAAATTTCACCAATGGTACACAGAAAAAACCTGGCAGGGGGTTTAACTACACTATCCAACTTGGCTTATAGACTCACTTCAAATATGTCTTGGCATTGGCCTCTTGAAGTTCCATGTATATTAAAAAAAAAAAAAAATTAGACTGGGAGAAAAAGCAGCACAATGTGCTAACCAAGATGAGAACATGCTGATAGGATGAGAGTAGAGTGGTGGAAAGATGAGCCCGTCGGTCTACTGCTTCTCATTTCACTGTCCAGTCAAAGGCTAGGGAAGGGACAAGACCTGTTGGTATTAATTGCAGAGGAGAGAAATCAGGCAGGTAGAGCAGATCCATGAAGTATTTTATCTCTGTACTTAGTAGTATGCCCAACATTCACCTTTAAATTACGTTTGATCTTTTCCACCACCTTTTTGTCTTTAAATCCATCTGATGGTTTTTTTGTTTTTTTTGCAGCAGCCAAATCTTGTATCTGCTGGACAGAAAATCTGCCCTTTAAGACCAGTTCGTCCTTCAAGCAGTCCGACTATGAATAAACCACCAGAATGTCACACCTTAGCCCCAGTTCATAGAGACTGTGTGTGCTGCAAAGATGTTTTGACAGAGTGGCCAACCATGAACTTGACCTGGATGCACACCGCGCCCATCTGCAACCCTCCTCTAAGCCAGGTGGACCTCCATCTCAACACCACTGTAGGCCAGGATTTGTTTTATCCTAATGGCAACAGCTGTGGCATCATTTTTGTGGTACAGAAGAGTCAGGCGCCGGTGTCCCCAACAGTGGAATCTGTAGACAGCGAAGATAAGCCTTTAGACCTTCGATATTACGGAGAGGGCTCACAAGAGCGTCTATCTCCCCGGAGTCGGAGCGCTCCGGCCATAGTTGACCTCCACGACCGAACTGATGTTGGGCAGTTGAAGTCTCGTTCACGTTCGCTCACAACATTCACGTTGACCTCCGGAGGTGAAAATACCTAAATCGCCTCATATCATGTCTCCCACTCAGTTCAAACTCTCCATTGAGATCACATGGGCCACCAGTCTTGGAAACGGGGAGACCCAGTCGAAATAGGGGGAAAACAAAAGAGAGGACAATGTTGCATTGTATTGTTCCATGTGAAGCCTTTTTGTTAAGGCTTTAAGATTTTGTTCTGTTACACTGAGCTGAATTCCAAAGAGATGCAAAAAAAAAAAAAAAAAAAGATGGACGCCCTGCGTCCAACAAAGGCATCTTGAAGGGGAGTGAACAGCAATATCTGTTGTCTTTAAGTGTATTGTCTTCAAAAAAGCATTTTTGGCATGTTATCTATATAGAGATACAAACTATAGCTTGTGGCCAAAATGTTTCCTTTTTATATATACAAGATTTTATGTGGTAACTTACATTCAACACTGCTTGAAATAGAGACCAAACCATTCAAATTTGAAAGAGCGAGAAAAAAAATTGAGCGTCCTCCAAGGGGAAATTTTATGAAGGGACGAATGTTGGTTCCTGAGGTTCACCGGTGAGCCCCTCACCTTCTCTGATAAAGTGAGCTTAGCGTTCTGTTGGGTCACTTGTACTTTGGAAATGGCAAAAATTTGTTGGATCGGAGACGTGTTTGCCGAACATTCCCTGCAAACCACTTGCATATCCATCGTTTCTAATGGCCATCTCTTTGCTTGACGTTGGCCAACATCTGCCGCCTTGAGATTCCGAGGGTTAGAAGTTCCAGGAATGTTTTTCAGCCAATGTGCAGTGGATCAAAGCAAATTCCCTTGACTTGACCTCGCCTTTTTTTTTTTTTTTTTTTTTAAATGGGCTCCCAATGACCCCTCTGTCGGCCATTTTGGGGTTTATTTTTTTTTTTTATTAAAGGCAAATAGGCTGTTCAGGTTGCAAGGGAATTTTTAACTTGGCTTTGTGAATGGGGTCGAAAATTCACTTTGCAAAGAATACCCACTCAATCCAAAAAAATAAAGTATTTAGCTTGCACATGATTGGATGTTGGAAGTCAGCAGAGCTCCACCTCATTTGCTAAGGCAAGGGCAAATTCCACTGTAAAATTTGCAGCCTATTTGCTTTTAATATATCGACCCCTTTGTCTCACTGAACTGAAAAAATGTAGGCAAAACGAAATGTAGGCAAAATATTTTATTTTTACATTTCATTACAGAAATATTTCAAGTGGAACTGCCATTTTTTGTTTTGGATAGAGCGAGGAATGGGTTAAATGGCTGTCATGTTTCGGGGGGGGTGGTTCATGTCTCTAACACAAAAAAAATCCTGAAAGGTCTTTGCTCCAAAATTGAAGCCCAGTTTAAATCTGCTAAATACATCCCAGGTAGATCAGAACAAAAGGACTTCATAGTTTTTAAAGTAGAAAATTCTTTCCTCTGCCAGCCTTCTGCAGAGAAGAACTTTCTCTGTATGGAAGCGGGTGGTCTCTCCGCAGAGGTCCACACGCACCCCTGCCGAGTCAGGCCTATAAGGCTGCCATCAGCGAGGACCTTGCTCCTACTGATTGGAGATGTCTCGGAGAGCATGCTGAAGGCTGGCAAAGGGTAGACTTTCATACTTGGGCTATAGCTGCTTTCTGAAGAAACCCAACTGATGCACCTGGAATGATTAGTGGATCAAAACGAAGTTCAGTTGGAATTTTTGGTTGGGCAGGTTTTTTGGAATTCTGTTGAAAAGTTTCATCTTTTGTATGACAAAGCACAATTATTTTGGGTATTGTTGCCTTAGTTACACATTATTTATGCTGCCATTTTGTGCTCGAAAGCAATAGCTGTGATCCTGCAGCCTCAGTGTTCGGGACAGACCCATGACAGCGGTGGTTTCTGGGAGGACTAGAGGGCTAATTCCTGTCTTATTTGCAGCAGTAGCTTCAGTTGAGTGTATAGCAGTGGGGTTCACGATAAATGAACATTGTATGCATGTTTGGTTTTTTTTGTTTTTTTTTTTTTTTTTTTGTACCAACTCTGTTGCATGGGAGTCCCATGGAGGGTGGTAGATGGGTTCCCATGACTCTTCCCATAGGTGTTCAGTATTGTCTGTCTAGACAGATTGTTCTTCACGAATGCCAAATCAACGTTGGCTATAAATATGAAAACTTCCAGGGAGGCCATAGTGGTTGGATAGGGTTATTTTTGCTGCCAGCATATTTTAAAGCCAAAACTTCCTTTTGGATAGAGTGGAAATGGATATTTGGTTTCTAGACCAGCCTTGCTCGACACTTTTTAATCCAGAGAAACTCTTGAAATAATCTTCAGCGGTTGGGGAACTCTTCCCATGACTTGCCTTTTGGAGGGCATTAGGAGAAGGCCCCTTACATTAAGTGGCCAGTGGGAAGAATGCCCCTCTTCTGTTGGTGGTCATTGGGATCAATGACCCTTGGTGATCAATGAGAAGAATGGTCCCCTACATTGAGTGGCCAGTGGGAAGAATGCCCTCTTCTGAGGGTGGTCATTAGGAATAATGACCCCTAAGTGGTGATCAATGAGAAGAATGGTCCCCTACATTGGTGGCCAGTGGGAAGAATGCCTTCTTCTGAGGGTGGTCATTAGGAATAATGACCCCTAAGTGGTGATCAAGGAGAAGAATGGTCCTTACATTGGTGGCCATTAGGAAGAATACCCTCTTCTGTTGGTGGTCTTTGGAAACCATGATACTTGGTGATCAGTGGGAGGAATGGGCCTTACATTGGTGGACTTTGGAAACTATTATTATTATTATATAGTATTTATATAGCGCCACAAGGTTTGCTCAGCGCTGTACATTATAGGGGGGGACAGTACATGAGACAATACAGTAACAGAACAATACACGAGGGGTTCGAGGGCCCTGCTCTTTCGAGCTTAAAATCTAGGAGGGAGGGGATAGTGGTACAGGAGGAAGTGGCTGTGGGGGATGAAGTGGTAGGAGGAGTGGAGAACGGCTGTTAGGTGAGGGCGGGGTAGGCTTCCCTGAAGAGATGGGTTTTCAGGGTGCGCCTAAAGGTGAGGAGGGTAGGTGACAGTCTGATGGATTGGGGTAGTGAGTTCCAGAGGATGGTGGAAGTCCTGGAGAAGTCCGGCGTAGGAGAAGGAGACCAGGGAGCTAGAAAGTAGGAGGTCTTTTGAGGAGCAAAGAGTATGGGTTGGGTGGTATTTGACCATGACCCTTAATTAATGATCAGTGGGAGGAAGGGCCTTACATTGGTGGCCAGTGGGGAAAAAATGCACTTTTCTGTTAGTGGTCATTGGGGATCAATGGGAAGAATGGTCCTTGCATTGGTAGCAATTAGGAAGAATGCCCTCTTCCGTTGGTGGTCTTTGGAAACCATGACACTTGGTGATCAGTGGGAGGAATGGGCCTTACATTGGTGGCCAGTGGGAAGAATGCCATCTTCTCTTAGCGGTCATTGAGAATGACCCTGATTGGTGATCATTGGGAAGACTGGTAATGACATTAGTGGCCTGTGGGAAGAATGCCTTCTGTTGGTGGGCAAGGGGAAGAATGTCCTCTTCTCATGTTGGTTATTGAGAACAATGGCCCTTAGTCGATGCTCATTGGGAAGAATCCCCCCCCCCCTTAGAGTCTGTTAAAAGTTAATTGGGGTTATGTACCTGGCTCTGCCAAGTGGTGATGGACCAGGAACTACGAAAGCAACACAAGATGGGAGGTCAATTGGCTACAACTTCGCAGTCGCTGGAGAAACCCTGGTTGAGAATGGCTGATCTAGACCCATAGGATGGATTGTTGGGTCACGCTACAGTATCTGCCCATTTATACTGTTGCATTTTAACACATGTTACAATGCACTAAATCCATGTGTCTAAGTTCCTTCCATTTTTAACAAAAAATCTAGGTTCTGTTTTTTGTTTTTTGCTTTTTTTTTTGTTTTCTCATGTTTTAGTACATTCAGAGGTCCATAGAAGTCGATGTCAAAGCATTAACACTCAAATAACATACTTTTGATGTATTGACAACATATCTTAATGTGTCTGGGTCTCCAAAAGCCTAAATTCAAAAATGCATTAGAAAAGCTACCAAAAAAAATGCACATGTATACGTCTAAATGGGCCTAAAAAGTTAGTGGGAGAGGAGCAAAGGCCAAAAAATAGGTTAGATTTGTGTGCCTATTGGTAGTTCCGTTTTAAGCCTGAGGTCTATTGGCCCTATGGGTGGTGGTCTATAGACATAGGATTGTTGCCTGAGCTGGACAAAATGGGCCGGATGGGATCCTTGTAATCTCTCATCTATGGGTACCTTCAGCCTGTAGCAATGCATTTTAATGTTTGAGTGGCTTTTTTTTTCTTTTTTTTTTTTTTCCTTAGCATTCTCTTAATACGAATGGACAACAATGCGTGACGCATTGCCACAGGTGGGGAGCGGGCAGCCGCATTTAATGCTGTTTGGGGTAATTGAAGTTACTCTATGCACTGAAACGTTCTATGCAGTTTTGCAACATTTGTAAGATTTGGGGAGCTGGGATTAAAAACAAAAATTATTATAAAAGAATGACATCTCAATGGTTTCAGCGTATTTCTGATTTGTATAACTGACAATAAAGAAGGGCATTTTGTGCCAAGTAATTACACATTTTGTGACTCCTTTTTATTCTGCCACGTGTATTATTTTACTTTATTATTATTTATATTTTATGTTATTTATATTATTATTTATATTTTATATTTATTTTTTATATTATTTATATTTATATTTTATGTTTATATTTATTATTATTTATATTTATTATTATTATTTATATTTATTATTTTTATTATTATTATTTATATTTATTATTATTATTTATAATTATTATTATTTATATTTTATTATTATTTATATTTAATATTATTTATATTTAATATTTATATTTAATATTATTATTTATATTTAATATTATTATTTACTTTGTGTTGCAGCAATTGGTAGACCGCATTTTTATTACCTGTATAGTACGCCCCTTCATTTTTCCCACTAAATGGACCCTTTATTACCAGCCTTTCTC